ATATGTTTGTGATAAGATTGTAGTAACTACAGTTGCAGATAATATTAGCAAAAGATATCATGAAGTCTAAATAAACCCTCAGAATTACTTTTTCTTAATACGACACAATAATTATTTCTCAGAATTTGACAAATTTTAATTTTAACTCAGATTTCTTTAGAGCCGACAACTGTTAAGCTCGAAATTAGTACGTTAAGGCTATTAGGGTTGTTGAAGATCGATAATCGTTCAATATTTATCAATATTTTATCTCTAATCTTATTTGTTACCACAGCTACACCAACTCATGCATGAGTATATTTTGTTCACATTTTTTCTGTAAGTGCAAAGTTAGTAAATTGTATTTGCGATTGGCTTTTCACTTGGAGATAAAATATGAAAAACATACATCAGTGAGTGGGCTCGTGCAGCTTCAGTGGCATGCACTATTAAAGGGAGACACCATAATCAATTGTGAGTCAATGTCCAACTCTTTAATGATATTCAACAAAACTAACATATTAAGATGTTAAACGACCTGGCTTTGAGCTGAGATGATGTAAGTTCCAAATAAATTTGATATGTAGGTTTCAAATAAATTTGGTCCAAAGTTTAGCTCGTACATTAGTGTGTTTATTTCAACTCGAGTTTCATGTGAGAGTCAAACTTAAAATTAATTTATGATTGATTATCGATTTTTGAACTAAATCCTACTAACCTCAGGATTTGATAATTCTGGATTTGTAGGATTTATAATAACCCATTCAAACTAAATCTTGCTTTCAACTGAACAACTTTTTAATCTAAAGGCCATTATTTCACACCATAGAACATTGCAGGTCTCATCACCATCTTATAAAATTTTTTTAAGTCAAAGCAGTATTTTCTATCACACAATAGGCCGGATGTATTCCTCCACTTCAACCAACCAACTTGAAATCTACTAATTAATCATATTCCCATCTATATCACCATCACTTTGAACAAGAGACTCGTGATATCTAAAATGTTCACACCTTTCAAATGAGTTGATCTCATATAGTTACAACTCTACCACTAGAGCTACTATTACTAAAATTATATTTCAAGTATTCAGTTCTAGATATACTCAATCAAAGGACTTTAGACTCCAATATCGACCTCCATAATTTATTATTTTCCAAAACTATTTCTCTAGTCTTATCTACAAGAAGCATATCACCGACAAAAAGAACACACCAAAGTGCATTCTCCTATAAATGTCCAGTACGAGCATCTATAAATAAAACAAAACATATGCTTAAAGCTGATTCCTAATGTAATTAGGGCTATTAACGATTTGATTTCAAGCCGATTTGGGTTAGCTCAAAATCCGCTAAAAATTTTTTATCCAAAATTTTGGCTTGTAGCTCGGCTCGTTTATTTTGATCTGATCTCAATCCAAGCCAAAATTTGAATCAATTTTTGAGCGATTAACTATCTTCGAGATAAATTTGCTAAATTAACAGTCATATATTGTTAACAATCTAATTTTGATTCGAGTTGGGGTATGCTCGAGGAAAATTCAATCTGATCTCGATTTAAGCCAAAATTCAAATAAATCTTCGAGCTAAATTCATAGCAAATACATTTGAAATAGGAAAATATTTGGCAAACCTTCAGTTGCTAAACTCTAAACCCTAAATACATTCTTCAAAGCAAATGAAAATGAAGATAACAAATTAAATTCCTCAGTCATTTGGGGTAGTAGAGGAGTGGAAGGAGGAGAAAAATAGAAGTTTCCAATCACTGTAAACAGTGATCCTGCTCCTGCATTCCCAACTAGCTTCTAATCTGATATTATCATGAGGGCTTTTGGGACGAAGGTGATGGCTTTGGTGGAATTTGAGAGGAACATGCAAGGGTATTAGGGAGAGGCGAGGGCTTCAGGTCAAGAAGATGAGAGGTCAAAAAGAAAGAATAGAGCAAGACCGGGAGAGAGGAAATTTCAGGCAGGATATAAAATTAGTTCTGATAGCTTAATAATAGCTTTTATTGCGTCGATTATTAAAACCATTACTAATGGTCGTTCCCGTCACTTAATAATAAAATGCATCGATTAAAACCCCGCCAGATTGTGAGTTCGAAGATAACAGACAAACTATAGTCATCAGTTAATATTTATTTATAACTGATGAGTTATTGTGTCGGTTATAATTAAAAACATTTAAAAAATAAAATATTGTTGATAAGCAATGTTATATGTTGTAGTAATGCAATCACAAATAACTATGATAAAAAACTGTCGTTAAATTGTGGGTAATTTGACCAATTTTTTGGCGGGTAAAAAGCCATCAATTTCTTTGTCAATTTTAGCACTTTTTCCTATTGTGTAGGTCTGTCATGGCCAATTAATATTAATAAAATTAATATTTCACCTTTCCTTTGCAAGAAAGGCTTAATATTCAAGATGGTGCCCCGAAGTTATTACTGATTAGATTTACAAATCCCAAATAACTTAAGGGAAAGTATCAATTTTTACGGTAGCTATTTTGAGATTACAATAGTTCTATCCTTTTTTCAAACTTGTTCTTTCTATTTAGTTAGAGGATTTATTGTCATCATGGTACAAACTCACAATCCAAGTAGTGTTACACATCTCATATAAGTGTCCATGGTATACATGAAACTAGGTTATTATATTTAATTCTCAGTTTGATTTTCTTAAAAAATAGTGATTATGATAATCCCTTGAATATAATGGTCCCAAAATGATTCTTTCCTCAAAGTATAGGAAGGTGATGAAGAAAATTTATGACAAAATGTTATGGATCATAGAGTCTACGTATTGCTCATGTGCTCTATAACTATAAAATTTGTTTGCTGACATGGAATCATAATCACTTCAAGGATTCTGATTCTTATTGATCCTCTTGGAGTGTTTAATTTACAGCTCAAAAAATAAATTTATTAATAAATATAAAATTATAGAAATTAATTAAGCTTCTTATCAACATATAAAAAGGATAATAAAATAAAAGAGAATATCAATGTGTCAAAGTAAAAGATAGATAAAAAATAAAAGAGAAAAAATAGAATAAAATTAATCGACAAACTACTCCAAAGGAAAATCTATCTTAAGTTTATATTCATTTAAAAGACTTACTACTCTCAACAAAATTTATTTGAAGCTCTAAGCAAAGAATGGGGATTTTTTATGTTGCTTTTTGTTTCCCTTCTACATCTACACATTATAGAAGATCCCTTGAAGTAATCTAATTATGAGCCCAAGGGTATGCCATTTTCTAATAAAAAGATTTTAAAGATGATATTATAAAATGACCAAATTTTGATGAGATATATTAAGTATATGATGATTAAGTTCCCATTATTGATTGATAATTGAAGTCCATCTCATCTCTCCCGAGGAAATGCTAAGATGAATGATTTTAAAGTAAATGTAGATATGTTAAGGCTTGAATGAATTTGAGCATTGTCGGTTATTTAAAGCTAATGATTAATGGCTAACAAATATCTATGAGAACTCTAAAATCTAATGATTAATGGCGAACAAATATCTATGAGAACTCTAAAATCTAATGATTTAATGATGGAGATAGAAAAAAACAACTTCAAGATTAAAGTAATTGATGAAAAAATATTATAAGCAACATGAGATGAGTTAGGGGTAATTGCAACAATTAATGACTTAACCGTATCAATTTGGCTCAAAATTTAAAGTTGATCCTCTTGAATTATAGATATTTCTTAAGCATATTAAATTATCATCATGTATTATATATTAAAGGGGTATAAAACTCATAATAAAAAGATAAATATAAGATGACAAACTTTTTGGTTCAAAAGATAATAGTCAATATTTTAACTTTTTTTTTTCAAAAGATAAAGGTAAATCAGCAAGTGAATGGTAATATTTGAACCCGCGATCTTATGGATAGTAATAAATGTATGAATAACTAGGCTAAGGCCTAATTCTTTTTTTAAGGATCATAATATGTCCCCATTTTATTCTATATGAAAAAGGGGCACAATGTTATTATAGAAAGAGATATGGATGGGGACAAATTCTTCGGTACAAAAGACAATGAATAACACTAGTAAATTTTTTTTTTCTAAGAAATAATGGAAAAGTGAAGGAGTAATGGGTTGAACCTATTAACTTAAGCATGGAATTGGAGGTTTGCATCAATAAACCAAGGCCTGATCCATATCTTTAATTATAAGATATTGTAATTGTTAATAGTTTGTGAATATTTTATTTATTTTATGGAACTTTCTTCATGATCTATCCTGTATGAAAGTTTCATTAAGCTTTAGTCCTTTTTCATTATTATGCAGTAGAATCTATCTTCTAATATTATTTGCAATTGAAGGGATTTTTTAGTGGGAGTTTTGTTTAAATTTTATTTGAATGAAATATCCATGTTTAACAAAATTTTATTTACCCATATTTTCATAAAGCATAAATTTAAACTTTTTATATCATGAAAATAATATAATTGTATTTTTTTTTTTAAATGTGTGAGAATGGATGATAAATACTTAGGGATAAAAGTGTATACTTTCATGTCTAATTAAAACAAAAAAATCATTAAAATTTAATTTTCAATCATATTTTCTTGTAATGTGTGACTATAACTCAAAAATTTTGTAGCGACATAATTTTTCATATATGTGAGCATCCTAATCTTTGTGAAGATTAGAGGATCCTTAAAAAAAATTTCCTTTCTCATAGAAAGCATCTTAATTACCAGGAGTTTTTTTGTTTATATTTTTCTTTTGGCCTAGTGGAAAGAGATATTTAATTGAAATGTCAGTTCACACGGCTATGATCAAATTGACTTAGAAATTTCTATGCCATCTTATATATTCATGTTGTCCTTGAATAATGTTATTAAAGTTAGCATCTTCATGAATGTATTCAATACTTTTGAGGTTTGGAAATAATGTTACTGTAAATATTTTCATACCTTCATGTACTTTCGAATAAAAAAAAAATACATATGATTAGGCAAATCTGACAAATGTTCAAATGATTGCAGTGGGCACATTTTCCACATATCCATTTTAGTTTAAACCATGGCGCTAACAAGCATGTGAAGATTGATGATCCTATTGCATCTCAAGGGAGTCAAGATTCTCAAAGTTATTATTGACAACATAGAATAAATGTGAGTTGATTTTAAATAAATGTGTATCTACCATGCATTCTATGAGGAATAAATGAACCATATAGGTTGCATTGTTTGATGTTTTCAAATCTAGTTTTATTATACAATATATCAATTGGTCCTCCGAAACACTGTAATTTTCTTCTTACTGGAGTTTATGTAGCTTGAAGCATTTTAAGAGTGGTAATAACAATTATATTATTTACTTAAACAAAAATATAACCTTGATATTTAATATTAATACATTGAATTGGTTGTCCTTTTATGTACATTAGAGTTTGTAGTATGATAAATGGATTTAAAATATATGCAAAAAAATCCTTTTAAGGCTTGTTTGGTTGCATGTTTATAGAAAAAAAAGTATAAAAATGATAATTTTGTTTCCATTTCTTTTATAGTTAAAAATAAAATATCTTTTTTAAGAGAATTTAAAGGCTTAGGTAAATTATATAATAGTATTGCTTTTTAACTTGATCAAACCAAATTCTTAAATCTAAAAAATTAGAGTTTTTCAAAACATATTGTTAACTTCAAGCAACCAAATGATTCCTAATAGAAGAAATTAGGGCTTAATTTATCATTACAAAATCATCTTCTACATCATCCATATCATTACTATTTTTAAAATATATGATTTAAAAAAAAAAACTAAAAATAAACTCATTGGATTTTAGCTTTTAATTTAATACCAAATTTAAAAATAAATAACATGCAAATTTTGAAATATAATAATTTTTTGGATTAACATAGTATTTAATAGCCATAAACAATTATATACTCTTATAAAAATTTATTATTGAACACTTGAAATAAAAATATTTAATTATAAATATATTTCTAAAAACTTTATAATCATGAATCATAAATCTTTATTAGAGAGAGAGAGAGAGAGAGAGAGAGGGAGAGAGAGAGTCAACACCAGGACTGGTTACGAATGAATGTAGTGGGGTCCACTGGGCAGCAGTGGAGAATCGCAATTTTTAATAGCGGAAAAATCCACTTCTGCGCGCTCAGATGCGGAATTCCACGCGCGTTGCCTCGATTTTTTCGTTTGATTCTGTGTTTTCTTAGCGCTACTTTTTTTTCTTCAAATTTATTATATAAATTTTACAAAAATATTTTTTTTTTCGCCTCCAATTTACAGGAAACAAATTAAAAAATCAATGTCAGTCTTTATCTTTTTTATATTGACTAGAGGCTATGATACGAGACTTCAGCCACCCACATGTGTCTAATCACTCGATAATGAATTCTAAGATAGATGCATTCAGATGGGCTTGAACCCGTGACCCCACGGACTTAGAACTGACTTCACAGATGTCAACAAAAGAGTCGCGAAAAATAACACTATAATATAATAATATATATATATATATATTTGGGTCTCTCTAACTATCTATACTTATCGTAGTCTAGCGAGTTACAGGTGGAAAAGTGGATCCTACAAGCCAAATAGGCTGGACAGGAAACATATTAATTTTATAATTAACCTCTATGTTCACTAAAATAAGATCTGAACTCGCCATCATTTTCCAGTACATCATGCGTGGTTATGTGCCAAGATAGCATTGGCCCTACGTACCATTTAATAGAGAAAAGTTTATAGTAATAAAGTGATAGAATAATTATTTTAATTGTATATATAGATAGAAAAGTTATAAGGAGTAAAACTTGAGTTTGTTTTTTATGTGAAAATTTAATAAAAGAAGAAAAAAAAAATACTATTATGTAACTTAGACTCTATTTACATAGTCTTAGAAATATGTATCAAAATTTACAATTGTAATCTTATGATATATAAGGGTCTATTTGGGGCAGCTTATAAGTGCGGGCGGCGTTTTCAAAACGCCGTCATACCGTTTGGTTCGTGTGTTTCGCCAACTTATCTGAAACCGCATTTGAGTTTTTACACTAAACGCAGACCGCGGGTAGACCCCTGCAGCCGGTCTGCGGGTCGCGTTTCAAGATAAACAGCTTATCCTGAAACGCACAAGCTACCTCAAATACCCTAAGAATTATATCAATTAAATAAGTTAAAATATCAATTATAAAAAAAAATTATAATTACAACATAAAATGTTATTAAAAATATTGCTTTTAAGTCATAACTTTAAATTCAAAAGATTAATACTAAGCCATATTTAAAACAAATATGTAAATACCTTTACATTTATGATGGTGCTAGTAAAAAATAAAAATGAAAAACTAAAAAAATGATTACTTTAATAACTTTACCAACTATTCTATCCAACGCATATATAATTAATATATGCAGCTTATACTAGATGCTAGCTAGGGCCTATAACTCCTGCGCCATGCCTTATATTTTAAGAGATAGAGAGAGAAACAAAGAGAGAGAGAGAGAATCGAGAGTGGTGGTATCTGAATGGTCATTTCCTGCCTCACTTTTTAACTTTCAAGAGAGAGAAAGCAGTCCAGTACTATCTCTTACTTTCACCAACTGTTGTCTCATCTTTCAAAAACCTGTTTTGGGCAGAAGCAGCAGATCATGAAACGTCTTCTCATGAATTTGATAGACGCCTTTTACATTCATTTTGGCTGCTTTCCTGCCCATTCTCCTGCGTGACTCAATTTAATCATTAAAAATTTAACATTATTAAGGATAAATTTGTGCCCTCCACCATTAAATTATGATGATTTATCCACTTTATTTAAATGTTTTCCCCACCAATCTCACGTTACCATTTTGAATTTCTTAGGGTTTGGTGTCCGCTCGTTTTTCTTAAATTTTTTATTTAGATTTCTTTCACTTTTCCAAAGTTAAAATGGTATATATATATATATATATATATATAAGGCGGTATATATATACAAAAATATAGTTCAGGTGTTAGATTATTGACTGTATAAGAATTGGATGATACGTATGTCCTTAATATTTTATTTAAATTTACACCCTCAAAAACATAAGTTTCTATTCCAATACACAAATCCTGAACTAAAATTCCAAACATGCACAACATGCAAGTCTACAATGCCGAGTAAAAAAGTCTCTAAAACATGGTTGAGGCATTGTCTCAGTTTAATACTCCTTCAATTCAAATTTTATTTGGGCTGGCATTTCTCGCATGTAATGAACGTGAGATAAATGAAACAGAATAGAAGTTCTAAATTTAGGTCCCGTTTGGGACAACTTATAAGAGCAGGGTCATTTTTAAAAACATCGCGGTACCATTTAAATCGTGTGTTATGTCTGCTTATCCGAAAGCGCGGTTATATTTTTACACTAAACTAACCCCTAATGTCGACCCTCGTGTTGCGTTTCAGAATAAATTGTTTGCCCTGAAACACACCAGCTGCCCCGAACGCACCCTTAGTTTAAACCACTTTATCGCGTTCATGAATTAATAGAAATGATTAAATATTAAAATTATTCAAATCAAATAAAACATTTATAAACCATTTTCAAGATTTAAGATTTATATGAAAGAGAAAAATTTTTGTAAATATCTTAAATCCTATTTTCCCCATAGATGTACCAAATAAAAATTTTAGCTAAGAAATGGAAGAAAACAAGATTTTATGAAGCAGCCCCTAAATTTCTGGCTAGCTTAGTATTAAAACAAAATGCAACGCAGTAACAGGTCACTCGATGATAACAAGTCCACGTATTTACTCTAAACAATAACAAAAATTAACGAAATTTTGGAAATGCATAATTAACAACCAAGAGATCAATTGATGTATGTTAGAATAGAAATGATGTATGTTAGAATCCAACACTTACAACTATTTCTCTAATTAATTTAAACGAGTCAGCTCTAAGTCAAAACACAAACAAGTATTTACATCGAGCCGAACACGAAGACACTATCAACAAATAATATTTAACCAAAGCTGAACATAAGACATAAGTTAAGTCTGAGCTTGCTCAAGCTCAGCTCATTTACAACACTATACATAATAGAAGTTAGAATTAAACATACGCATCAATAAAAAACTCATACATCCAACACGAACAATGCTAATAGATATATAACCTGAATCATGGTAAATGTGAACATTCTCTAATTATTCGTCAAACAAATATAAGAATGAGAAGTATGAATCATGACTGATATATATATATATATATATATATATTGATGTGTAAAGTTTGAACCGAAGAAAATGAGAAGTATGAATCATGACTGGAAAGACCGACTTCTGAGCAACTATAAAGGCCAATTAGCCTCTGAATCAAACCTAGCATCACACAGAGAAATGACTCTTACCTCTGCATGCAAAACATTTGGCTCAGACAAAATAGTAAATTACTTCACATAAATGAAGTTTCTACAACAAAAGATAATTTTCTCAAAGTCTTCCAACTACTTTCTCGAGAGCTTGCCCTGCCTAATTAAAGAATTTCGGCTCACAAATTTCACCATCCCCTTTGTTCTAAGGAAAGCTTCCGCCAGCCGAAAATCCTAGATTGGCAGATCCTTGAAATGGTGAAGAATTATAAGGACCAGGGTTATGAAGAACCAACCCCAGATTTTGCATATGAATCCAAAGTGCCAAACTGAAATACAGGTTTACGTGAAAAATTGTTAACTCCATCTCCAGAAGAGATTCCCCAAGTTCCACAAGACGATGTAGTTCCTGCACCAAATTTTATGGCAGTGTTCTGGTAGCTACAATTACCAAACTGTAAATTTGAGCCACCTGATGTAGATGTAGAACTGACACCAAAAGCTCCATTTGCTGATATTGGAAAGACAGCAAAAGTTGACAAAGAACCGCTGTCTGCCATTGCGAATGGATAAGGTTTGGTAAAGTTGCAACTTATGTCAGAATAAGAAAAGCATTGACCAAAGCAAATAAAACTTTCTGAATGTGGATATTATAAAGATGAAAATACTTTAATACAACCTCCAATACCTGTGCTTAAAGATATAGCTGACACACCTGCAGGGATCAAAACATTTGTTAGGAACCTATATTCCAGATGAAGCAAGCATACACACTAACTGAATATGCACCTGTAAAAGAATAGCTTGTTGAATTGCCACGCCCAAAGTGGAATTTAGGTGCTTCATTGCCTGTGCTTGAAGAAACAACTGACAAACTTCCAGCATTCAACCTATATATTTAAGAAATATATTAACAGGCAAATTTGTGATTGAAAAAGAAAAAAGACATCCAAAAGGGAGAAGAATACATTATGTCTGAGGTATAGTATAATGTTTAAATAAGACTCCATAAGTCTACAAGAAATCTAACCTTTCACCACCTCCCCTGCTTATGGGTTTAGTAGCATTATATGTAGATACCTTCGAACCAGACAGCAATGGAGAAACAGAGTTTTCCATCTTTGGAGTGGCGTCAGCAGCCAAAGTAGTTGCCATAGTATGAGATGACAGTGGCTTAGACAAGGTGTTGTATGTATGTGCAGCAAGCAAGTTAAAACTGGCATTCCTTTCAGTAAAAGCCTTATCAAAGGCTTTTGTATCACTATTAGTATGCATCAATCCAGAAGTATGCACATATTCAAAGGAATGTTCGAAGGACTTCTCCATTGGTTCTTTTACAGAAGCAAGAATAGCAACATGCTCTGCTTTTACGGACCCAACTTTATCATCCAGAGCACTCTACAGGACATGTATTATTTGTACAGTTAACTGGGATGTTTTAACAAAAAATGGGGTATAGACTTTAAAAGTTAAGGTGCATACGGACCAAACTATGCTGAATATACAAAAGGGATCTAACTTAAGCATAATTGTTAACTTACCTGTACAGCTGGTTCCTTTCGCCAGGGAATCAGGGCAAGTCCATGATTATTTGAATCCATGGACTTCATGCTATGGTTTGCGACTGAGGCAGATGTGTCAGAACTATTTATTCCTAAGCATGGTGCTACCTCAGCTCCTGAGGTATAAGGCATCAGAGAGACTTCCCCTCCCACCTTATCTTTAGTGGGAGAACTAGAACTCGTGATTATGGCTAAATTAGAACTGCTCAGTTCTCCCAAATTTCTTCTGCCTTGAACATCAAGTAACTTAGTCGAACCATTGTTGTCCTTGAATTTTAGAGAACCCTCATGAGATGCACTCAACGATAACTTGGAGAATGACGCATCTCCAGCAATAACTTTCTTTTTGGACAATTTACTTTGTGGAGAAGGGCTTAATTTATCAAGTTGATGCAATATTTTTCCAGCCATCACTGTGGACTGGGAAGGAACATGGAGAAAATGTGAGGGCATTTTAGCATCTAGATTGCCTGGGCCCTTTAAATCAATGTCATATTTGTATTCTTGACCAATAAAAAATGTTGAGGTGCCTAAATGGGTTGACATATTAGAGTCCTTCATAGAAGACATCTGGTGAACCCTTCGTGCATCATCAAAGCTACCACGTTTCAATGCCTGGTTATTGATTTTGAAGACAACTTTAAAACTAATACAATGAAACTAAAGCAAATATTGCTTGACAAAAAAAAGAAGAAAATGATTCATCTTAAGATGGTAAAGTAAGTATCGGAAAGACTGAACCAATGTTCAAACAACTAAGATGGTAACTTAGTTAACAAATGGTAGCTTAGATAACAAACCATTATTGATGATGCTTAAAGAATAACTAGTACTTAAAAACCATTAGAGAGCATACCAATACAGGGAGTGCAATAAAAGGTCTAGGGAGCAGTTGATGCATATAAGCTTAGCCTTTATAAATGCAAAGTGACAATTTATTATTTTTATTATTATTTATTTGGCACATACAGGTTATACTGTTAAGAACATTACAACTATTCGAGGCCCAAACTCTAGCACTCAAAAACCCATAAAGAAAAACATCAAACATTAAAAAATAATAAGGTCTTACTAATCATATTGCTTAGATACTAACATGTACCCTTGTCTCAAAAATTAAAAAAAAACGACAAATAAAATATTAAAACCAAAAAAAAAATTAAAATTAAAATCTGACGATGAAAAATGGTTTACCAAAGCTCTGGAAAGCTCAATAGAATAATAAATGCCTATAATGTTGAATCTATCACATAGCATAGCTTTTCGCCCGCACTCTTAGTATGCATAGCTTCTTAACAAGCCAAAAAATATTACGCAAAAGTAGGGCTGTGAATTTAACTAAATATGGAGGATTGCTTAAAAGTCAACTTGGTTGTTGGCTAAGATCAAAGCCATTGAGCTGACTACTGAGCCATGTCCAGCTCAGATTGAACTATAATTGTATCAAGCTTGGATCAAATCAAATTAAATCAACATTTATCAAAATGCATATGCAGATCTACAAGAATACATTTACATTTCCAATTATGTAAATATTCATATTTGAATTAATTGAAATGTCCAAATGTGCATAGACCTGATGATACCGGAATCAGCTCAAGAATTAGCGAAAACAAGACCAAATTTTTATTGATACTGAATTAGGGTTACAACATGACTCAACTAGAAAAAAATACGACAACACGACTCTCTGGGTAAGACTGAAAGAGAATATCCGAGGGTAGTGGTGGCATCCATGAATTTATAAGCAAGTGGGTCAGGGCCGGAGGCTGTGGATTAGGTTAGAGAGGGTGATTTAGAGGACAGTAACTGGGTTGGAAGAGTGGGACGGCTAGGAGAATGCGGGAAGATTGGTGACCAGGTGTTGGGGTGAAACTGGGATGGCTGGACACACTGGTGTGCTGCAGGAAAGGGATGGTAGGGTGCTGAGGTGGGTTGGACAACAATGATGTGCTGCAGGAAAGAGGCGACAGGGTGCTGGAGTGCAGGTTGGAGAGGCCGACGGCCCAGTAGAGTGGAGAACAAGGTGCAGGGAAGATGTTTGAGGTAGATACAACACCACCTTGGAGTGGATACAACTGAGGCACCACCATTGGTCAGATACAACCCTGGCTGGGAGAGGAGAAGACTCCAAAGAAAATTAAGAAAATTCTAAAACAGCAACAAGCAAAAAAAACTGAATCCTACATCCAGAAAACAGCAAATTATAGATTCCCATATGGAGAAGAACACAAAAGGAAAGAAATGGGAGAAGAACAAAAGGAAAGGAATCTCCTATAAAAAAGAAAAGGAATGGGGCGGCAGTCCAAATCTAGAAAATAGAAATTAGAAACTTCCCATATGGAGAAGAATGCGTAAGGAAAGAGATAGAAGGGGTGGCAGTCCAGCCCTGTACAAATTCTGCCCAATCCATTGGACCGGTCTTAGGTCATGTGGGATTTGTTGCCAATCAGTTCAACCGGCTGGCTCCCCTAGCCCTGCATCACCTGACCACTGGTTTATAGCATTACAACAATGTTTATGAGATTCTCCCATTGAGCTCTACAAGTTCTCTAGATTGATGAGGAAAGCACAACAAACTGAATACATGGGGGTATTTCAGCTGCACAACAGACAGACTCTACTCGTTGAGCTCCTGAATGATGATAGATTTCAAGATGTAGAGGTTAAAGGCTAAATTCATTTTTTTTTTTTTATCTATTTCAAGAGAATCTCTTATTTTGCTACGGTACTTCTGTAAATTTCACTTACATTTCATGATTTCAAGATGACACGCTTCTTTACTGCTTGTTCTTAAGAGCATTTCTTCAATGTGTTGCATTCAATCGCTGTTCTAGGCAGTTCTATTACACTTTTCCATTTTCTTCTTTCTGATTTAGAGAAAAAGTGAGTTGTACAACAAAGGGCAGTTAAAATAGCTATTTTACCAGTATATGATATGAGTTTCACTTTCATTGCAATGAATCTTTCGTCAGAATCCATCAAGTCATTTAGGCATTATATTATGACCAAGCATTTCATATCATGATTAGCCATAGTAAGTTGCAAAAAATGTTCAAGACAAAATACTATATTTGATAGTTGATATGATGTTTGATGAATGGCAAATTAGGCAAGAGAGATAGAGAGAGAGAGAAAGAAAGAGAGTGTGTGTGTGTATGTGTGCGTTTAGGGGTTTTGGGTTAGGGTTTAGGGTTTTGGGGGTTGGGTTTTGGGGTTTGGGGGTAGGGGTGTGGGGTTTGGGGTGGGGGGGGGGGGGGGGGGGGGGGGGGGGGGTGGTTCAACCATGCTTGTCATGCATCTAATAAACCTCAACAGTAAATTTTCAGAAAATTTACTGACTTAGAAAAAACACACACACTGACAATGCTTGTCTCAATTTAATAAACCTCAACAATGCTTAAGGTTCAAGCTGTCAATTATGTCAATGTTCAATTCGAGGAAAAGTGGTTGCGAAATTTTCTGACTTAGAAAAAACACTTGTCTCAATTTAAAGAACCTCAACAGTAAATTTGCTAAAACAAGCTTAAAGTTAAGTTCTAAAACAAACATAATATGGATAGAATGAATTTCACTACAACCATGCTTGTCATGCATCTAATAATGACTCTGATAATATCACGAGGAAACCAAAAGATGGACTAATATAGGACAAAATTAAGGATCACATGAAACAAATTGAAGGGCAAGTTCAAGCAGTCAATCATTTCAATTTGAGAATAAGTAGTTGTGATTCTTGTGAATTTTCTTGACTTAGAACAAAAGTTTCAATTTAAAGAATCACGAAGGTGAATTTGCTTAAATTGTAAAAAATGTTTAAGCTTATGTTCTGAAGCAAACATATATGAATATAATGTAGTTCATTACAGTCATGATAGTCATACATCTAATGATGATTCTGATAATATCATGATGAAACCAAAAGAAAGACTAATATAGGAAAAAATTAAGGATCACACGAGATAATTGAAGGAGTAGAAGTTGTAAGAAAATTTCAACCAAGGGTCAATGGCATAAAGATGGCCTGGACAGGAGTCAAGGAAAAAGAACATTCGATGATTGACAGAAAAGAGATTGGAGGTGCTATTTTATGATTTGTTAGCTATTAACTTTATGATACTTAATTCAAATGAGTGCTTTCAAAGTACAAAGTGCGATTAGATCCACAAAGATTTCTTTTGCTACAACGTATAAAGAAACATTTTAACATCAAATACCACTTTTCAATAAAAGTACTTACGCATTCAATAACAATAATTTCTACCTATATAAAAGCCAAAAAATAATAAAAAATATAAATAATGAAGTCATAAAGGAATATCTAAAAAATAAAAATTATTGGTGAGATTGAGTGATAAGCTAGAGACTAAAAAGTGAAGCCAAATGTTATGATAATGGCATCGAAAAGAACACAACTGATGCATAAAAAAATATTCTCGAAACAAGTTTGTAAACAAGAAAATTCTAGAATCACCAATAAGAATGGGCAAAAAAACATTATAGAAAACCAATAGCAAGAGAACATTGAAAAATAGAAACACTAAGGGCATGCTCCAATAGGACACATTAGAGAACTATTGAGTAAAGATTCAATGACTAAGAGAACCACAGAGAAAAAGCACACATTCACTCCTTAGTTATTGCAACATAGCTGAATTAAATCATGAAATCTGAATTAGGATTTCATTCTAAGCCTAAGTTGAGAGTTTCGTGCCACTTTGCTTCACTTCTAAAGCACATTTTTAATGTAGGACTCGTCATATGTGAAAAAAGTTTAGATCATGTGAAATTGATCCTGAAATGGAAGAAAAGCTTGACTAGATGTTAATTAATGTGAAGCCTTTTAGGGCAACTACAAATTGATATTGATGATTTTTCTGATTTTAGTGAAAAAGAAATTCAGAAGAAAATGGTTTTGTTGACACCGGTCAAAGTAAGAGAGCAGTCAAATCTATAAATTAGTTAGAAAGGAAAATGGGAATGGGTGGAGCAAGTTTTACAAGGAGCAAACTATCATAATTGATTAGAGGATGTGACAATGCAAGTACGCAACAAACCAACAAAAATTGGTCTACCATCACGAATTTTTTTCCATTAATTTAATCGATCAAACACCTAGGATACGTATAAATATGTCATTCTATTTTTTCTACAAACATTCTTAAGGATCCAAATAACAAAAAAGAACTATGATTGTTAACAATCAGATCCCCTTTTTTTTGGGGTGTCATGTGATTCGCATGTTCAAAATGATTGTAGGGACAAATTATATCATTTCATCTTTTTAACTGCAGCAAGAACTTCATCAATGAAGTTGCTTTTCTTAACATTGGAAAACTGTGTTAGGTCTTCATGATAGTTAGGTAAACATAATGTTTTTGTAAAGCATTTTTTAATTATTTTTAATAAAAATTATATATGTGATCGTGTGTATAAATGCATATGCGCATATGCATATGACTGGGGGTGTCACAAATTGATCTAACAGGACAATAAGAATGGAACCCAAATAAGCAAAATCTAGGTTGTGGTTGACCCAATTATTTTTCAAGTCAAGTTTAGGTCTCAAAAATAGACACATTTAGTTTTTCAAATAGGGTTTAAGTTGACCCGAA